TTGATCATCTTTCAGAGGGTGTCCATTAAACTGCATATCCATAATAAGGAAGCTACTTTACAAAAAAAGTAAAAAGTCTTTTCACAGAGTAAGGGTTATTGTAGATATTTCCCACCTTTCTAACTGAACTGTAACCCTGTTTTATTTTAGTTCCTCTTTGGTGGCAGGTGTCAACTACCTCTGTCCTCTGGCTTCTGCCCTTTGACCTCTGACTTCTGGTTTTCACCCCTCCACAAAAACCAGCCCCCTTTCTAAAGAGGCTAGGTTGCTCCTAATCTGTGCTCATTGAGATCTAATATTGTTCAATTTGGATTAAGTAGAACTCCCGGACTAGATTTGTTGGAGAATGACCAAACTCTCCAATTAGAAACTTATTTTTAGTGCAATTTTTTATTGGCTGTCGGAAGAGGTGCAATGTTAATATGTGACATTTGGTATCTTGTTAGTCTCTCAAAATATTCCATCATGATTTACCAACCTGAAATTCTGAGGCACAGGCCATTATTCGGACCAGTAGAAGTCACTGGGAACTATGGCCATAGAATCATGCCATACACATAGTGCTCTAGTTTAGTTCTAATAAATGTTTCCATATCAAATGCAATAAAAGTACAACTCAACTACAATTATTTGCAAAAAGGGCAATATACTGACTCATTGCTTAAATAAATGAACAGGCAATCATTATTTAGACACATACAAATACAGATCATCAAACATTTCTTCCAGCATTATTCTACCACACCTCTGCCAAACCCAATGCCATTACCTGTGTAACCTTCTGACTTATTTTATTTTATGTTAGGGGTGCTGACAATTTCAATTGCATAGTATGACTCTCTTACCTTAAGTCAACTTTATTAAAATTATGCTACTAAGATTTTTAATGAGCTTGTATTTAAATCTTTGTTTAGAGTTGTTTTTATATCAGGTCATTTTAACATTGAAGTTTTAGTAACAGGGATATACAGTAGCCACTATCCTCGATTGAGATCTCTAAGCTCTTCCCAGCATCAGCAACTCCTCCCTACACATAAACAGTCCCACACAGCATAAGCAGGAGGAGCTACTAGACATTCTTTATAAACTGAGCAGCAGCAAAGACCAGTAGGACTATTTTGTGGCAGAAGAGAAGAAAGGGGTCTGAATTCTTTGCTGCCATTTTTTGAATGGACATTTTCATTTATTCTCAGGTAATGGAAGTAAATGAAATGGGAGCACATGAAATAGTGGAGTATTGTTTTTCATCTGACAATGCATCTTGCCTAAAAGAAACTCGATCCACAGCTGTTTATGTCATCTTATATATTTTCTTTATATCTGTGGCAATACTGACAGTGTGTGGAAACCTGATGGTGATCATTTCTATCTCTCACTTCAAGCAGCTCCACACACCAACTAACTTCCTCCTGCTCTCTCTGGCTGTGGCAGACTTTCTGAGCGGGCTGATTGTGATGCCTTTCTTGATGATAATGTATATAGAAACTTGTTGGTATTTTGGAGTGACGTTCTGTTATATTTTTACCTCAGTTTTTGCTATTCTTTCTGTTACTTCTCTTATTAATGTTGTCTTCATAAGTATCGATCGCTATTTTGCTGTGTGCGATCCTTTACAATATTCCAATAAAATAACAGTTAATGTTATAAGCTTATGTATAATACTTAGCTGGTCATTCGCCATACTTTATTCATTGATGATCGTTGCGTGCAATATTAATTTTAAAAGCACTGAAGGCATAAATACCTGCCTTGGAGAATGTTTGATTGAAATGAGTGCTTCCTGGGTGATACTTGATATTTTCATTTCTTTCATTTTACCTTGCTCTATTATGATATTTCTTTATATAAAAATATTTATTGTTGCCAAAAGGCATGCACAAGTGATCACTTCTGTTACTGAACAGCTGACTTATAGAGATGAAAAAAACAATAACATTTCCAAAAGGTCTGAAAGAAAAGCAGCCAGAACATTAGGGATTGTAATGGCTGTATTCCTCCTGTGCTGGATGCCATATTATATAGCCAATATTGTTGTGGGAAACTTAAGTTTTTCTTCTTCACCAGCAGTTATTAATTATCTGATTGTTCTAGCATATTTGAACTGTACCCTGAATCCAATTATCTATGCCTTGTTTTATCCCTGGTTTCAGAAGTCAGTGAGAGAAATATTTACATTTAGGATATGTGATCCAGCATCCACTCTGATTAATCTGTTTCCAGAAAACCATTAAAAACCATAATAAGAACTCTGCCAGGCACCAATGGTGTATCAGTCGTCTGCTTTCTGAGAAGCCTGCTCAGTCACAAAAAACAGCTAATCACACAGAGATATTTATAGCACTGTTCATTCAAATACTCTTCATCTCCAGCAGAACAACATTTCAGTCTTCAATGAAATCATCAGGAGGGCCTAAATGAGTAAACTTCTCTTAATCTTTTTTCTCTCCATTAAATACTAACTCTTTTTCATTCTCTGGAGCACCTGGCACACTGAACTGGGCTCCCTTCACTGAGGATACACATTCCCTGTTTCCTCTGAGACCTACCAGAGCACCTTACATTATGTCAAAGAGTGCCAACACCGAAGAAGGGAAAAGGCTAATGGGCTGTGATTTACTGAGTTTGCAGGTAGTGGCCAGTGGGTATGTTAGTATCGGTGTGTTTGTCCTTCTCCTGTTTTTTTGTTTCATCCCTGATAATCAAAGTCTTCCAATGCAGACAGTGGGGCAGTAGGCAATTAACTGGACTCAGAGACAAACAGAATCGAGCGGTGAACATCAGGGACACATTGCTCAAGATGCCCAGGAATGAAGAAGATACCTAAACTACCAAAGAAACCACACAGAGGACGGAACTGCTGGACAGCATTCTTTTGGGACATTTGTTCTTGTATCTGGGGGTCCATGGGGCTGGTTTGGAATGTGTGCCCCCAGAGAGAGTTTTGTATCATGATCTTTGGATGGATGGGCTGTAATTGCCAGAGAATAAAGGGGCTCTTAATCAATACTTATTGTCTTGTCGGGTCTGTGGTTGTACTGGTGGCTCTGGAAGATAAAGTTAAGGTAATGTGTGGCAAGGGAAGCAGGGTCTTAATACCTATCATAAATGGCTAGGTGGTGTAGTCAGCACAATGCAAAAGTAGTTCCTGAATTTAGGGGTTACCTATCCATGACACTTACCCAGCTTAACCACTGGTACCCAGATTCCACCTATAAACGGCACTAATCTACCACTCTACAGAGACTCTGGAGAATGGAAAATCCAGGATAACGTATTAAAATTGCTTAATTCGTCTGATGTCCATCTAAATTCAATGCATAATGAAATCCTTGCATGTTTTTATTAACTATTTTTCGAACTTTTCAAATTTTAATCAGTGCTAGTACTGCCAGTTAAAATTAGTTAATATTACAAACTCCCTCCTTGAACTACAGGAGCTTAGACACAACTTCAAGCCTATCCACTGAGTGCAAGATATACTCTCACTTCTGCTCCTGAGGAGTGTTCAGTTATCTATATTACATGATCCCTTTTTCCATTCCACAGGAAGCAAATCAGTCATGGCAAGTGTGTCCAATCAAAGGAAGACTGGCCATGGATTCACAACACCTACGGTACCTAAATTTATGTAGCAAAGGGGGGCACATAGCTCACATTATTTCTATAATTCTGTGTAATTAAGTTATTACGTATGATTAATCACGTCATAATTAATTCATTCAAGTGAACAATTAATCACTGAGTGTTGTAGTTGTTCACTTATTAATAATTATAAATAACAGTTATAGAATTAATTAATAAGTTCAAGTGAGCGATGCATAGGCTGCAAAGGAACAAGTAATAAGTCTGTTCTATCCTGAAATTACAAGAAAGAAAAATAAATTGGGCCATGGATCTGTCTTCAGGTGTGAAAAAGACAGGGCAGTAAGCAAAGGTAATGTAGTAGGAGAACAAAAGCTGGGAGAGAGGTGGAGCAAAGGACAGACAGAGTGGCCAATAAGGTAGCCTACGGAACTGTGAAAAACAGATAGTTAGTTGTTAGTGTGTTTGTGGAGAAATGAGCTATACAGGAGATAGTTGTGTGAATCAGTGGGTTTGTAATAGACCAAAGTAGAGAGTTGGAGGTAGTTAATGGAGAAGTTGATGTCTAGAAATCCTGCAGTTACATTCACTTGAGTGATGTCTGGCATAGATCCTATACCAGAAGCTTTCTGCACTGTAGAAAAGATGGAGAAGTGAGAACTATAACTTTATCAGTTAAATTCAATGCAAATTTCGGTATGCCAGTGAGGAAGCATTCAAAATGTTTTAAGCATTTTAAAGTGTAAAACTTATTGTTCTGTGGGTAAGATATATATATATATATTACTTTATTGGTTAAACAAACATCGTGTGAAGCTTGCGACTGTACGTGAGACTGCCATGTTAGCCCTAAGATATTGTTACAACCTGGGGTATGTGGCAAGGTGTAACAACATTTGTATCTTGAGTTATATCAAGGCCTTACTCAGACAGTTTAATTTTTTTTTTTTCTAAAGCCATACCAAATGTGTCTGAAAATGCTTCTAAAAATGCAAAGGAATACATTTTATTTAATGCCAATTAGCATTTACTTTCAGAACAAATGGAGATCTAAATACTCGCCTATTTCATGTTATACTTCTCGGCTCGTGAGTGCTAGAAATGATTTTTAGCTACAACATTTTGTGCACTGCCAACGTGTCTTCAGAGAATAGTTTTGGGTTTCTGGCACATACTAACTTGATTGTGTGTGAACATATCCCAGAGCACCTAAAGCTGGGAATCAGTGAAATGGTGATGATGAAAATCTTTCAGGCACAAAAAAAACTTAATTGCAAATTCTTTAATTCATTTTTTATGGAGACACATCTTAAATCTTGTCAGCCAGCTCTTTTTTCTCTATTTGAATTCAAATGATTCAAATTCAAATAGTGATTCAAATAACTTAGGATAACAAGTGGTCTCAAAGTCACCGAGCTTAAAGAATTAAAGTTTTTAAGTGCAATTAAGTTTTTTTGTGCCTGACATGTTAAGAGAAGAAATCATGTTTTTGGATGTTGATGTAATTTGATTGGAAGACAGCATGTGAAGTAAAAAATATTTTTCACATTCTCTGACAAGCCTTGTTTTGTCAAAGAAGCAGAAATTATCTTGCTTTCAAAGGACAACAAAGATAGGCTTTCAAAAGACTGCAAAGATACTAGCAAAGGTTAATTGCACTATGAACTGCATAAAGAAATGTAAAATAGTCTTCTTTAAGTCTGAGGGCGGGAGTGGATGGCAGCAGGAATAAACTGCAAACATGAAGTCACTGCATTTCCCTCTGTTTTCCCTCCAAAACCCCTTTTTTTTGCTTACAGTAGTACTTCTCGTAAGTTAAGTGTTAGCATAAACTATTAGTAATAATAATAATTGCTTACACTGATTTAGCACTTTTCTGGACACTCCACTCAAAGCGCTTTACAGGAAATGGGGACTCCCCTCCACCACCACCAATGTGCAGCATCCACCTGGATGATGCAACGGAAGTCATAGTGCGCCAGAACGCTCACCACACATCAGCTCTCAGTGGGGAGGAGAGCAGAGTGATGAAGCCAGTTCAGAGATGGGGATTATTAGGAGGCCATGA